CCAACTTGTTGCCTTGTATAACATTAAAGTCTTTTGAAGTGATGGCTAAAGCTCAACAAATGGTGGTTTGGTTTGTAACTGTAACTCCTGTCGAAGTGGTAACAGATAACATTCCACAGTCATTCGCCTCCACTATTAGTAACGTAACATGCCCGCGGTTATTAGTAACCTAACATGCTCGCGGTTATGTTACGTTACTACTAGTTATGCTTTGTAACGTAACACAGAACATGTTCATCTCGCCGGAAGTATTTTGAGTTTTGGACATACCAACGAACGAAGTCAGGATGCAACACCGCCTGCATCAGAAATAGATACGCGGTACCTATACACCGATTCCAACTCGTAACCATCTGTAGCGTAACAGTCCTTTCATGCGACGGATGAAAACTGATAATTGGTAGGCGTGTCAAAGTAGTTAGGAATAACATGCAAAAGTACTCCATCTGCTCCAGTCGTAACATATCATGTCCAGTGTTACGTTATAGGTCGTTTGTTACAAATTGATACGCACCTTTAGAACTGTCAGAACCCACTCTACGATGGTAATGTGATGTTTTAGAAAAGGGTCGAATGTCATCATAGTCGTAGAGGTAAAAACATTATTTTTATTGAAAGAGTGATGCGGTGGATCTCTTCCAAAAGTACATTTCATCCAGAAGCTTGTGATCCGGTATACCAAACATGTTAATTATGCGGACACTCATATTGAAACCTGGAGGGTTTCAGAGTATTTACGAAATCATACCTGAAAACAACCGATAGCTTCTTAAGCACTGATTCGCTCAGAATGGACGACGTACGCGAGACGAGGCGCGGACGTATCGCAAACCTTTGTCCCTTCAGGTCCTTTCCTAGGTAAGCAAATGGTCCAGTGCGCATAGAAGGGACGTGAAAGTGGCTAATGCTAATGCAGTTATGCCCACACAATTTTAGAATACTAGCTTTATCAGAGCCTGGTACTATTTTCAAAGAAAATAGTCAACTTCTTTGTTATATACACCAACGAGACTTTGTATTGAAAGGAGATTTTTCCTGCAATCTTCAAATATTTTATTATTCGACGGTACGAATCTGACTTTACTAGGCAAGGTGTTGGGTGCATTCAAATTTATCGCAATGACAAATATTCCAAAGCGAAGGTTTCGATGTATCTCTGACAACTTCATATCAGGCCCTTACTCTAATGCATATGTACGTGTCCTCAGAAATATCTCGCAAGCAAGATTAATATTCTCTTTTCAGCAATAAAACGGGAACTTTATTGTGTTATGTTGCGTAAAGTCACATAGTTTTACTCTGGGGAAAAGGGGAAAATGGTTGATAGTATTCTCGTCATTTTATCACGAGAGATGGAACACTTAACTTAAATAAAAGCCCATAACAATACTAGAGGGAGAACAAAAAACCCTTTTGTTACACGCAAGGGAGGCATCCCGGTTTCTATTGATTTTTCTGGAAAATACGGAATCATGAAATTTCATAATGCAAGAAACAATGGAAAAAGAATATATATCGGTTGATATGTTCTGACAATCCAGATGAAGTGAAAGTTTCGTTCTCGCTGCATAAGCAGCGAGAAATATAATCAAACTATCGAACGGTAAGAGTACTCATTTTTGGAATTTTACCAAATCTTCAGAAGCGAACTAGCATATGCAAATGCTCAAAAAATTAATGAATCACTTGAAGTATACCAGATAAAAGATGAACAAATCGCTTCTTCACATATTGAACTATTTCAAAACTTCCAAAAAATTAGTACTATTTGTTTCACAGCAGGATTACGAATATAAAATCATATCACCGTTCAACAATACGTTGAAACAAATATCAATTCAAAACTCATTAATACAGTTTACTGTATGATTTCTACTAGAAAAGGTTTTACAAAAACCGCAACACGTGTTTCTCTATGCAATAGCTTCCTCAAGCGTAAAATAATAAGATACTTCTAAATTACATCACAACTTTTTTATACTTTTACTTGTATGCCTACTTTCTGATGGATGAATCTACCTGAAAAAGTCAAGTATGAAACCATTAACTATACGAATAAATTAAATTTCCTAAAGTACCGCAATTATACTTAACTTTTCTTACCTGGAAATAAACAGATTCAATAATGGCAAATTATTCAGTTCGGTTTGATCGGTCATATGATATTGAGACTTTTTCAATTTGTTTATTTCTATACTTCCCAACAGGTCAGGTTTTAAACCTTTCTTCTGGAAATGGAGGGGCTTGAATTCATGGTTGAACTATTCTCCCTCTGTGATCAAATGAGTGGCATATGTGGAGATTATTTTTCCATTCCAAAAACCATTTATGTGTCCCTTTATGCGTGCTTTGAACGTTCTTCCAGTATGACCTATATGACCTACGGTTTGCGAAGATTCAAGAAGGCCTATAAGAGACACTCATTTTCAATGCAATTCTGACAGATTAGACAGATTAGAAATGGCTATGATTGTTCAACTTTCATTCTTTTATATTGCTAAGTTCAACACACCTAGTGATATTCTCAAGGTTAAGTGGAAAAACAGTTCATTAGCTGGTTTTATATCATCTTATAAACTGAACTTCGCCTTCTGCTTTGGGCCAAATTCACATTATATATGTATTCTTTTGATTCGATATATGGAAGCAATAAAGTCGTTTATTATTATTATTATACTGTTGAATGCTGCTACTTTGTGCTGACACAGGTGGGTGGACGAATTATGAATAATAATATCTCTATGTGCTGGTTTACGATAAATTGAAAAATCATGTTTATTGTTAACTTTTGTTATTGTCAAGTCTAAAAGATTAATAGAATCGCCCTTTTCCATCTCCATAGTGAATGTGATAGAACGGTGGAGATAATTGATAAAATTCAAGGTCTTAGAACACCGAAATAGTTTTCACAATGGAAAAATAAACTCCACATATGCCACTCATTTAAGCTATTGCATAGCGGAACACGTGTCGTTTTTGTAAACCCTTTATAGTGGAAATCATACTGTAAACTGTATTAATGAGTTTTATTATGGATTTTCATGAAGTATCGGCTAGTTCTATTCATCATTGAAAACTAAGTACGTTTATGGAAAAAATATTCTGTTTTCTACTTCTCCAGCCTCGAACAAAAAATATAGAGAGCGAGAACCTTTGTTTCCCAAAAATGTATCGCGACTTGAACTATATTCCTTTGAATTTACGAGTACAGTGTTAGGAATCACACGTTAAAAGGTAAGACCTCGATAATCCTTAGCTCGCACAAGTTTCGACTTCTGAGGATTGTCGTTCGTAGGGGTGCGACAGCTGGTTAGCGGAAAAACAGATTTTAAACAGAAAACAGATTTCAAACAGAACAGTTATCGATCTTCATTGAGCATTGATCTGAAGCAACTCGAGATTCATTTCTAAAAAAAAAATATTTCTTCTGATATAACGTATCGACTAGGAGACATGGTGATGTTCAAGTCTGTGATGATATAGACATATCTGCCTTAGTGACCATCAACGCTGGTGTTCCTTAGGAATCCATATCGTCTCCAAACGTCATATTATTGTATATCAAACGACCATGGAAAAAACCAAGTATCCAATATATTGCTTTGCTGAGGACAGCACACTTGTCTCGTCGTTCCATTTGGATTCCAGGACATCGACTACGGTGGCAAATCTTCACCGGCAGCAGGAGGTTGCATATCTTAATGTGGAACTAGAGGTGATTTTGAATTGGAGTGAAAGTAATCAGGTTCGAATCAATGCCACCAAAACCCAGGCATCGGCTTTCTCCAAAACGGTAAACGTCTCCGAACCGGATATAATAATGTGAGAACAAAGAAATCCGTTTTCTGCTTCGATACATTTGTTGGGGGTTGAAATGGACACCAATATGTCTTGTCACAATCACGACGCTGGAATTTTCAAGGCTGCTTCTCAAAAGTTTGGAACACTGTTCAGAACCTGAAAACTGTACACACCTCCGCAAACTCTGATGCTTCACAAAGCTCAGATCAGATCTTCTTTGGAGTATTGTTGTGGATTCCATCCAGAAAAGAGCCATTCGTCTGATTGGAGAGCATCATTTACAACCTTGATAGACTGAAACATCGAAGAAAGGTTGGAGATTTGTCACTCTTTTATAGATACTTTCACGGGAGATGTTCAAGTGATTTGGCACATTTCATTACACCAAAAGCAGTACCTACATATCAGAAATACGCGACGGACTGTGGCTGCTCATCGTTTTGAGGTTCAACTCAGAACACTTCGAACTTCATTGTTTGAGAACTCTTTCATTTGGAGAACTTCGTCTATGTGAAATGAACTTCCAAAGAACGTTTTTCCGAATGAATTCAATCTCCAGCGATTCACATCCAACGTGAACCGCTACTTTCGCACAGGCACCGCTCTTAGAGGGCCTTAAAGAGTTTCCTGTAGTACTCGTGTTTTGTCCTTGAAAAAATGAAATAAGCTATTGACACACTCAAATCTCGCAGCTAATAATTTGAGAAAATAAAATTTTCTGAACGTGAAAGTTGCAAGAAACTGAAATATTGAAACCTTGAAATTGTTCTTAGTATAATCAACATTCACACTATGAATTTCAGGATTTATATGAAAAAAATGATTGGTTATCTGAACAAAAATATTATCTTACCCTCCACTACAAGTTCAACTTTGTAAGGTTGTATTGGTTCATCTAACGTTGAAGTCGATAGTATTTATAGGTTTTATGTATTCAATGAGGAGAGCCTCTTGGAAAATAATGAGTCGGAGGAAGAATTGAAGAATGCATGGAAAAACTTGAGATGAAAATGAATGCTAATTTGATAGTGAACTCAAATTTTATTGAAGTAATTTCCCCTGATAGAAGAATAACGGTAATGACTGATGAATGGGGGTAAAGAAATCAATTATAGATTTGCAATTCAGATACAATGAATGGGCCAAGTTCTTTACCATTTTTTAAGAAATAATGTTTTTCCCACTGTAGGTACGAATTTTTTCAGTTTCAAACACCCGGCAAATTTAAAAGTTTCCTTCTCCGTCGAAATGTTATCGCTAGATTGATATACCGACCGCTTTTCCGGTTCTACCGAGGTGAAAACTTATTTTCACCCGGAATATATAACTAATCGGAAACTTGGCAACATTCCTTCATAATAAATTTCACAAACTTACGGTTTATGTCGAGAGTAACTGAGCTGGAAATCGGCGTAACCAGATTATTGTTGGATGCTTGGCAGGTGAACACAGTGTGCAAATGTTTTCGTTCTAGCTTATCGATGTGCAGGATATTGCGTATTCGTCTTTCTGAAAGGTACTCGAACGAGTCGTCAAGCAGGGCATTCTCTTGCCACCATGTTACTCTGGGAGGAGGACGACCTGGAAGCAACAAAAAAATACAAGTACAAAAGATATAAGTACAAACAGAACTCGTAAGTAACCAATGCCGGTGATGTTAAAACCCTTAAATTCTTGAAGTGGTCTCTGCAAGATGACCTTTTTGATTTACCAGCTGAAATACGAACCCTTGTATTCTATAATATAACTGAGTTACTTGTCATACCCAATTCATAGTGGATAGGAAAGTGGTATGTTCAAGAGGAATTACTGTATTATCTTACCTCCCGTGGCGACACAAGTAATATTAATGGACGATCCTTCGTTGTAGGGTCCGAGAATGTAGTTCTGTATATGGACGCCAGTCTCGTCTAAAACGCTCAATTTCTCTGGCGGAACTAAAACAAAGAACACTACATTTGACATTGAAAGCAGAATTGAAATTCATGTCCTGTACTCAAAATGATTTCTCAATTTTATTCATATATTATGGATACTTTACATGCAACTTAGGTTCAAGATTGGGTACAAAAGTATTGACTAATAAAGGCTGGAGTACATAAGAAACTGCCATGTCTGCTTACTAATAAAGGCTGGAGTACATAAGAAACTGCCATGTCTGCTTATCAATCTTGAAGTGTTTTCACAGATATACCAAATTGATATTGACCTAGGTGCTCGACAGAAATGAGGAAAATCATTGATAGGCCATAGGACAAAAGAAAAACCGTTTCGATCGCAGCGTGGTTTGGAAGTTGTGCCAAAAATTCTACTACTGCATCAGATAACTATCCTCCGAGTGTAAAGGAGTATAGAAAAAAAAATAAATCTGTTTTTCCGTTAACCAGCTGTCGCACCCCTACGAACGACAACCCTCAGAAGTCGAAACTTGTGCGAGCTGAGGATTAACGAGGTCTTACCTTTTATCAGTTCTTCAAATTTGTAGGCAAAATTTACGAACACAAATTCCTGCCTAATTAGTTGATATAATGCAATGCCTTCTGGTAAACTTCAATACACTTCAGTAGACTCTTTATTGATTTAACACTATTCATATTTTGAATTGTAAAAGGTTACATAGCCAAAAAACAGAGGAAAAACATTAACCTCTTCAAAAATGTATTTCAAAAAATGAAATCTATGTTTAAATTGGAAAGGGTATATTTTCAGGACAAATTGATTTTTGGGAAAGGAAGGTGTTGGCTTTCTATATACTTCTCCATATTTATACGAAATAATGTGTGAAGGAAAGAAACAATACAAACTGTGTTTTTTGCATTTTTTTTCTGATTGATTCGGCCGTTACTTGATCCCCACAAACTTTGTGGAGATCAAATCATGAAGTGTAGTTTCTGAAAATGTTTTTTGCATAATTCATTGTTCATATAAAAGTATTTGTGTCGAAATTATTTTTCTTTCGTGTATATGAAAGTAGCTGTTTCGAGAGAGCTTTTCTTTCAGTTTGTGTCTGAAAGTTCCTTCTTCTGTATGAAGATGGAGAAGGAGAAACCCAAAACCTTTTTTTTTCGAAAATCAATTTCTCCTGATTACCATTCAGTGCAACGCTTATTGTTGAATCATCTGAAAATAGAACTTTTAACGGGTGCTGATCAACTGTGTTGCCAAGTATGCGCCAAACTAACTGACTATTATAGTACACCAAGTATAGCTGAGGCACCAGTCAATCTAATAATGAAACTGATGTTCTTCAAACATGACTCAACCTCTGACGTAAGCACCAAAGTCTTACGAAGGTTCGAAATAGATGAACACTTCAATCTAGCAGACCACTATTATAATCTTCATGCAGTTATTGTTCACTGTGATTCTGGCGATGATTCTGGTGATTACTACGCACTGGTCAAAGATGAAACGGACTTATTTGAGTTTTACAATAGTCGTGTCACTAAATATTCTGTCAATATTTCGTACATATTCGTACATTTTATTCTATGAAATAGAGGATAATGGCAGATTAGGATCTTCAGATGGAGCTGAAAAAGCAAATGCGTCACTGGAATCCAATCAAGTTGCTCCGGAGCGCCAGTTGATTTTTGTCGTTGCTTCATAATTTCATAATTTGTAGGTATTACTTTTTTTTATATGTCTCTATGATTGGGAATTACAAAAATGAAGTCTTAAAATACACTCCTTTCAATTCAAACAAGACTCCTATGGCTGGGATTCAATCAAATAAGCGAATGAATGTCATTACGTACTGTCATCGACGATATGAGCAGACTGGGCTCATTCGTAACGAAAAGTCGTAATTTCATGAATGAATTCATTGCTTCTTTTCACAATGTTATTCAGTTTTGGTGCTGACGAGGCTGTATGGCAAATGTCTTACGCCGAAACATCGAATGTCTACCAGTAAGGATGATAGTGTTCCATGTGACTAAAATTCCACCTCATTCATTTACTATATTGTGTAGCAATGCAATGAATGATATCTGATTCAATTTCATAACGAATGTTTGGAATACAAGCTGAATAGAGAGATGCGGTTTTTGTATAATTCAGTGTTCACATAAAAGTAAGTTAGTTTGATGGTGGTTGACAATGTTTCGTGGTACATTTCATTAGTTCGGACTTCCATTGTCTAATATGATATTAATTAATTTGAAATCCCTGAAAGAATCTGTAAATATATATATGGAGTGGCTTGAAACTCTGGCCATTGAAGAAATCCACAAGAAGCACTGAGTCTGGTTGAGATACGTAGACGAAACCTTCATAATATGGAACCATGGAAATGAAGAACTAGGCACCTTCCTAAAGCACAACAACACCATAAGTCTTTCCATCATTTTCACGATGAAGAAGGAAGTCCACAATGAATTGCCATTCTTAGACGTATTGGTGAAGAGGACCAACACTGAATGGGAAACGTCTGTATATCGAAAACCCACTCACAGAGGCAGTATCTGAATCCAACCACTATTAATCAACTAAGAGAGAACTCATCAAGACTCTTCTAGACCGTGCTTTTGGGCTCTGTTATTCAAAGAAAGGCCTAGAAAAGAAACTAGACATCATCAGAAATTACCTTCAACGGAATGGCTACTCCAAAGTGATGGTGAAACAGGCTTCAGCTAGAAGACAGCAAGAGCTCCACAAGGAAGAGAAACCACCACAACCGCTTCTTGTACTTCCCTACATCGGAGAATTGTCGGAACGGATGAAAAAGGTTAGGTCCAAGTATAACATCAGAACCTGCTTCACATCTAGGAACAATATCCATAGCAGCTTCACAAAAACCAGGCCACCCAACGCGGACTGCGTTTCCAAGAATTGCATTTGCTGGATACCCTGCGAGTGCGGAGAATCATGCATCGGTTGAAACTAAGAGACCATTCGCATTGCCGAGCACAAGAAACAGACACAGCGAGGAGAAATCAGCAAATCAGGAATAGCAGAGCATGTTTGGACTCATCAACATAACATCAAGTGTGCTCAAAGTTAAATCATCCACAAGGAGAAACACTGGTTTAGGAAAAAATTTCAAAGAAGCCGCATACATGTTGTACAACAACGCATTTAGTCAAGTTATCGTAGATATACGTATCATATGGAAACCTCTAATCAAGCGGAACACGACCAACTCCCTCCAAACAGTCAGCTTCCGCTAAAACCGATGAAGCGGAGAGAGGGAAGAGGGGAAAGGTGAAAGCACTCGAATGACCTATAAATAGTCAGATCTCGGAGGAATAAGTCCAGTTATCACCCGAGGACTATTGTGGATACTAACAATCGAAACGTCGTGACGTAACTTGGTTTGGAATCCGTTAATTTTTAATTTTCCTTTCTTTTTTTCTTTCTTTTTTCAATCTTCAAGTTTTATTTTTATTTTTTGGTTGTTGCTTGTATTTTATTTCATTATCATTTCAGTGTTTTGCTTAATGAAATTGTCTTTTTGATTTTTCACAGTTTCTTTCAGGGATTTCGAATCAATTTATATTATATTAGACAATGGAAATCCGAACTGATGAAATATAAATGTATCTTAGGAATCACACGTTGAAAGGTAAGACCTCGTTAGTCCATATCTCGCACAAGTTTCTCAACTTCTGAGAGTTGTCGTTCGTATGGGGGCGACAGCTGATTAACGGAAAAACAGATTTTTGAACAGATGTGTTTCGAAAGTGATTCATTTTGGGAAATTCAATGTTGATATGAAAGTAGCTGCTTCGTAATAGCTTTTCTTTCAGTTTGTGCCTGAAAGTTACTGATTTACATAATTTATACATCTTTGTATGGAGTTAATTCGTTTGAAATTGATAACTTTCTTGCTTCTGAAAATTCCCACATTTTTTCTGTAGTAAGCCCAGACATTTCGTCACCAAAAAATTATTTATGCTATTAGTATTTTATAATTGCATATTATTTTATGCAGGAACAATGATTCTTTTTCTTTCGGGACTAGAAGCAATCTATATATGAATTGTTATTACTTCCACTATAATAAATACCGATAAATCTAAATTCCAAAATGAAGGTACTGGTCTGTATTGGTGTGCTTGCTGTTGATGCTTGAGAGACTTTGCATTCTTGCCGGAATTTATAATACATAAAGCAATGTTTTACAGTGTTATTCAGAACCAAGACGATTGAAAAATATAATATTCTGAATAGTCATCATTCAATAAATATAGACGTAATCTATCCCACCAAATATACCTTCAAGAAAAAATAAAAGATCTATTCTGAGATGGAAGAAGTTAATCTTCCTCTACTCGTTCATTTTGAGACGAAGAGAAATTCTATCATATCATATAAACACATTTTTTATGAAAGTACTGGTGAATGACATCAAGAAATAAGCTTTTACGAATTTACTTTTGCGGATACCCTTCAGGAGCCTTTTAGTTGGATCTTAAATAATGCGTAAGTTATTAAGAGAAACCCCTTAATCCTAAATTACCCCAGAACAGCTAGAAATGCGATAAAGGGAACACACTTTTCTGAGTTATGAACGAGATTACGCTATTTATAGTGAAAGTAACGAAAGTGGCGCAGGTGGAATGAATTATTCAGCCGAAACCTTGTAAACACGGAGGTGTTTCTGAGTGAAATGTGTTTTTTCATTTATGTGTGTGATTATGTGAACATCATTCGTAGTTGAACGAGCTACATGTGTTTATGTTATTTGTCCATATCACTTTCTAGGTAGTATCAAACAATAGATTCAAGTGAATCTAATAAACCCTTGTGAAAGATTTATCATTTCAATGACGGATGAACGAAAGCTATTTCGCGTTTCTCCGAAATATATCACAGGAAACTCTTTCACAAAACATTGAATTTCCATTTATTTTTTGTTGAGTATTTTTCAAATATGGCACAAAATATGGCACAAATATTTGAAAATTTCACCTTGATAAAATAACTAAAGACTCAACCAGGATTAGCACGGGCCATTCACGACTCGAATGTGTCAAAAAGTCATTAAATATTTAGACTGTAAAACAATAGTAAAATACGTCAACTTCATTTCTCAGGGTGATATATTTCTAAGTAAAATCAACTCCTTGTCAACCATACATCCCTTAACAACACTCATATCAGAAATTTCGAAATGAAATAATAATCGTGTGACATCTTATTTGAAAGGTACTCAATTCTGTATCCAGATTAAATAATTATATCATAAGTATGAGCAATGATAAAAAAAAACGAAACAGTCTTATGAGTTGTTATTCAATTCCAAATTGACAGTTCACTTCGAATACATAAATTCACTATCTGAAATGTTCAAGTTGAGCATATTGAATGACACTAGTGAAAATAATAGAAACGAAAACTCACGGTGAAACATTTTTTGAAAGTCTGTCCAAAAACTAAGGTGGATTTTCATTTTCCTGAAAACAGACAAAGTCGCAGAGGTGCAAATCTGATGAATACGGTGGCTGAGGCATGATTACTGTGTTGGTTGTGTCCTAGAAATCACGAACAAGCAATGACGTTTCATTTTCTACCATACTGGATGTTTTCTTCGTATTTGCGGCACATAATTTCGAGATTATACTCCTCATTGATCGTAAGACCACGCGACAAGAACTGATGAACTACGTCACGGTAACTGAAAAAAACAGTGACCAAAACCTTGACATTTTATCGAACTTAGCGTACTTTTTTTTTATCTTGGTTCTCTGGAGGTTTTGCATCGGGACGATTGGGCTTTGGTTTCTATGTCACATGAGACAGAGAGTAAAAATCGGTAATGAAATCAGTAAGCAGTTGAATATATCTGTTGGTGTGCCTCAGGGAACAGTTTTGGGACCAATTCTGTTCGTTGCTTACATAAACAGTATTACACAGATCAGAGATTTTCACGGGCACATAGTTTGCTATGCTGATGACACAGCCTTAATATTAAAAGGTGAAACATGACATGATGTTCAACACACTGCAGAAATAGAACTGAAAAAAGTACTGATGTGGTTTGACCGTTACTTGATGAAGATCCATAGTAATTTATAAAACTGCACTTCACGATTTGATCTTCACAAACTTTATTTGAAAAATATATATCATGTTTTGCTAATACAACATGATTTGCTAACACAGTAGCTTCATCAAGTGATTTGAATTCACTTCAAAATTTTCGAAAAACTTGCATGGCATGTGACAACCGAGGAGTCGAAATCTTCAGCAACTTATCTACTAGTAATTCGATGTTTGTCCCTAACAATTTTCTTCACTTTCTTAATATTTCCATCGGTTGTTGATGTGCTGGGGCACATCAACAGCGAGCGTCGTGATCCACAACTTCTCGGCATTGTATTTGAAGCATGTACCACTTGTAAACATTTTTCGACTCAGAGTACAGTCACCGTATGCAACTGTCAACATTTCAAGTATTTTTGAATACCTAATTCCATTCTTATTCAAATTTTGATGCAAATTCTTCAATCAATTCTTGAACGTACGTTCAAAACGAGTGCAATCAACATAAAAAATTGCTAATAGAATGTATGTAGTCCGCAAAGTTTCAATATTTACCTTCTTTTTTGAATAGACCTCGTATGGTACTGAATTCCGTCATAGTTACTGCTGAAGTTTTCGATATTTATGTGAAAATTATTCTGAAATAGTGTGACTTTATCTGATTTATTTATTTTATTAATTTATTTTCAGTGGAATACAAAACGGGACAAGCCCAAAATGAGTATTCACAAATGATAAGGTGAAAATAACAATAAATAACAATAATGGATTGTTATCAATAATATGCAATATCGTGTTATGAACAGTTAATAATCAAGTGCAGTGCAAATTATAATAGTTAGATATGAAAATGGTGATTGTATGAACATTTGAGACACGTGGTGGAGGTTGCGAGGAAATTAGAAAATGTCTATTAATATATGTGATATACAGGGGGTTCTAAATAACTGAAGCAGAACTGAGCTGGCTATTTACATAAGTCATGTGAAGTATACGAATAGAGTTAGTATCAAGTCCTGATCAGAAATCCAAGAGTTTTTCTCGCAGAATTTCACAAGATTATTGATGTCATTCTGAATGAGGAGTGAATCGTGGAAACATGTCACAGTATGGAATACTCGTCAGCATACATTGAAAAATCGCAGTAGGAGAGACAACTAGATATATCGTTAATATAAATGTTGAAGAGGATGGGTCCAGATAGGAGCCTTGAGGGACTCCGGAAGTAATATTAATGAATCTGGAAATTAGTTTTCCCAGAGTGAATGCCTGAGACGTATTTGTAATATACGACTGAAACCATCTTAGCAGATCACCGTGTATACCCCTTTGCGACCAAATAATTTTTTTGTTTCATAAAAATTGGTGTGTACACTTCAAGAACGGAGAGTACGTTTCGACTATGAACATGAAAAATCTGCCAAGGACACTGTTTATAAATGGGCCGAGCAGAAATGTAAGCGTATCGAAATTAATATCATGAATGTATGGAAACTGATACCGTCAATAACAGGTAACAGGGTCATTTAGGATCGTCAATAATGAAGACATTGATGCTGTATTTAGGCCACATACTTGATGGATATCCATAGTTATTTCAAAAACCACACCTCACGATTGAAGATCAAATCGTGAGGTGTAGTTTTAGAAAAAAAATGAGAATGTAACTTCTATCTGAACCTGAATGGCTAATTACATCGTTGATATTTATGGTAAAGGAGTGATTCAAATCCTAATGTGATACGCCTTATTCATACCCTATATCCCCAAAAACTGAATCTCTAGGCAGATATTCTGGGCAATAGGACCGTTCTTTTTGGAAACAAACCTGAATATGAAGAGTATTTCAATTCGCTAAATACTCAAGTTATATGAAACATTTACAATGCCATCCAACAAGACCCTTTTTGCAAAGTGAAGTAGTTTTTTTTTCCGACAAAATGGACCTTCTTTACATTTTGTAGTGCCAGTGCGACAGTTTCTCGATATAAACTTTTCGGGCCACAAAGATCCCCCAATTTGACACCACTGGACTTTAGTCTATGGGAGTTAGAAACGCTTCAAGTTTCTGTGAATGATTTATGATAGATAGATATTCTACGGAATGTAAGTATCAGAAGCTCAATAATACCATTGTTGATGGTGTTTCATATTTTATATGAAGTTAATTTTGCAGTTTAGTTTAACTGTCTAGTTCGGAATTCAATTTTTTCCTGACTCATCGTTGTAACAAAATGAATATGAGAGTATTAGATACAGAATTGAAATACCTGTCAAATGAGGTTACATTTATTCTCATTGGTTTCATCAGACATACGAGTTGTCAAAGTGTTACAAAGTAATATTTCCTAAATCAACTTATTCATATTCCAGCATAGATCGAATTTTGAAATGAAACACAAATTAACCATTCCTTTAGGTTTCACACAAAAACTCCAATCTAACGGCGATGCCCCTTTTCCCCCTTAGTATTTGTTAGTAACAACGTCCTGTTGACGTAAATGATTCGAAGTGTTCGTTGAAATTTATTTCGGCATTAATTCTGATTTACGAGAATTGCTGAAACTCGCTTAGTTCCGACCCATTTCTCATCTCGATCCATCTATTTGTCGCGCTCGCGAAAAACGCCCGCCGCGCTTTATGCCTCTTGTGCGTAGCCATTCCGAAAATCGGTCGATTACATGGAAATTATCACAGGGAAGCTTGCAATTGGAAAACAGCTGAAAATAGGAATCTTTCGGATATTTCGGTTAGAACAAGAGTCAAAACAAATATGTTAACAATTTATTAATTCTGAGGTTTGCAGTCAAGTAGAAGTCATTTATAAAAAACCCATTGATTAAATTTTTTCGATATATTTGTTGTGTCTGGTCTGGCCTAAGCCAGACCTACAGACGTGTGACAAGTAGAGTATATGAACATCAACTTGCTGTCCGAAAGTCAGACCCATCATCAGCTCTCTCCAAACATTATCGAGAGACAGGACACAACATAGACTTTGCGAACACTAAGACCAGCGCCACAGCGAAAACCCTCGGATGATTCGCGAGGCCATCAAAATAGAAAAGCGACCTTTCTGCCTGAACAAACCTGATGACGGTCAACGACTTCCAACTGCCTGGAAACCCCTAATTTTCCGATGCTCACATACCACCAAGACGTCCGGTGATGGTAATCACCCGAAGCCCCGCCTTCACATTTCCACATCAGTAGCTTTCGCCGATATAAATACCACCGAACACCCATTGCCACCTCAGTTCAATCTAAGAAGTAGGCAGATTGAGACCTCAGAGAGAAGTCATGACAGAACCTGGAGAGTGGGCAGATTGAGGCCCCCACGTCAAGTCACTTCAAATTCTTAAAAATGGCTCCAAAACTCCAGACGTATCTGCGGTAAACCGGGGAAACTTATTTCTGGCTGTTGACCTTTTTTGCGCGGTGCAGCCAAGTGCAAGGATGGGCAATACTTGTTTTCCGAAAACTGCACCACATGCACCAGGAGCCAACTGGACATTTGTGGTTCCAGGTTATATTTCGGACCCGGATGTCACGCAGGTAACTGTAGCTGTCTACGTGGTCACTTGAGTTGCTACCTGAACATGGTAGGTCTCCTTAGTGAAACTATAAATTTGCACTTGGCTCCCGTTGATGACTCCGTGCTTGTGTGTAGTTTTTGGCAAATATGTTCTGCCCATCCTCCCACTAGGCTATGGAGGAAAAAATGTGAAGTGATAGTAGAACTCAACTTCAAGAAGATATTCGAAAGTGTGAAAGCCTTTCTCGTAATGATTCGCTTGTGGAAAATAATCAGAGATGTTTTTGGAATACTGAAATAATAATTGAATAGAACTGGCCAATACTTGATGAAAATCCATATTAAAAACTAATCAATACAGTTTATTGTATGATTTTCACTACAAGGGTTTTACAAAAACCGTGACACGTGTTTCGCTAATGGAGAATTATTCAATTCAGTTTGATCGTCCATAAGATGTTGAGAATATTTGAATTTGTTTACTTCCATACTCTCCAACAGGTTAAGTTTCAAACCTTTCTTCTGGAAATGGAGGGGTTTGTATTCATGGTTGAACTCATGTCCCTCCGAGATTAAATTGGCTGTTGAATGTGGAATTTATTTTTCCATTCTGAAAACTATATTTGTGTTCCTTTATGCGGGTTTTGAAGGTTCTTCCAGTTTGACCTATATAAAACATCGGACATGATCCACACGATAATTTATACACTTTTGATTTTTCTGAAACTGAACTTTTATCTTTGTTATGGGCATGGGCAACTTGGGCATGTACATGCCCAAGTTGTTGTTGGTTTTGAAAGCAGTATTTACACCTTTGTTGTGCAGAAAATCTGAAATATTTGTAGTTAACCTGTTGGAGAATATGGAAATAAACAAATTGAAAAACTTTCAACATCTTATGAACGATCAAACTGAATTGAATAATTCGCCATTATTGAATCTGTTCATTCGCAGGTAAAAATAGCTAGATTTATTTACAGGTAGACTTTCAAAAAATGTATTGATACCTGACCTTTTCAGGTAAATTTATTATTTAGGTAGACGAATAGGTGCTGGGTTATAGTATGAAATGGTGTAATTTAGAAGTAACTCTCAGTTTATGCTTGAAAAAGCTATTGTACAGCGAAACACGTGTCGCGGTTTTTGCAAAACCCTCATAGTGGAAATCATACAATAAACTGTATTGATTAGCTTTTAATATGGATTTTCATCAAGTATCGGCCAGTTCTATTCGATTATTGAAGAAAGCCAGTATCGGCTTTTTGGCCTTTTTTGGCCTTAAGTTACTTCTGAAGTGTTCCATTTTAGATCAAAACATTTGGTTTTTCAACCAATGTTTAAAAGAAGAAGTGTTCCCGAGATTCGTCCGATTGAAGACCAATAACATAAGCTACGCTGCATCTGAAGGAAGTAAACATGGAAAAATCAAACGGATAAAAATGGAGAGAAAGATACAGTACAGCAAAAGAGACGTGGCCAACATATATCTTGAAGTGATACATACACAACTGTTGTGTAAACTCCATTACATTGAATTTGAAGTCCTAGACTCGGATATTCGTGATGAAGTTAATGGTATTATACATAAGAAGTTTTCAATGCAGAGAAAGAAATTAGATGTTTTAATTCGGAGCAAGCCACCGAAGAAAAAGAAAAAGGCCAAAGACAGTGAACTATTTTCACAACATGAGTTCTTTGACAAATTTGTCAATCTCACGAACACTAGTTTCACAGAACAGGAAACTCGTCTATTAGAAAAAGGTCTCAATTACAATATTGAACCCAAGATAAATTTGACAAATTTAGAAGTTTTGGGAATTGATACAGATATCGTTGATGGGGACATGCTAGGCCAATAAACATATTGCTGTAGAAATTTTAAAATCTGATAATCTGTTTTGAATAATTTCTTGATGGTTGTATACAGTATCTGTTTATGAACACTTCAATCTAGCAGACCACTATTATAATCTTCATGCAGTTATTGTTCACTGTGATTCTGGCGATGATTCTGGTGATTACTACGCACTGATCAAAGATGAAACGGACTTGTTTGAGTTTGA